AGTACCGCAGGGTGAAAACGAAACATCGCCCTCTTCGGTTCTGAGAACTTGGACGAGAAACTCGATCAAGGATCACGACCAAGGTTAATGCGCTCTGGTGAAACGCTGCGCGATCAATGGAATTTCCTAATCGACTAAACTTTCGATATATACGTATAATCTTTATTCGTTTCATTAAACGTTACGATACATAAACGGTTTTAATTGCGCGATTATATCGCGAAATCTGGAAATATCTTACATCTGATAATAAGAAAGAATAAGTATTCGGCAGATTCGAAGATAATTATCGATTCGAGCACCATTGTTCAACGTGTTGGCCGATAACTGCGTTCCTTTCGCAGGAGAACGATCGAAAGAAGAGGAAGAGCAGGAGGTGGAGGATTCTCGAGACGAGAATGTGCCGGCTAATAAGAAAATGCCATGCTGAAAATGTCACACGCTGAGCAGCGTGACGTCACGCTACAACTCGTTTCTGCTTGTTTTTACGCTTCTGTTGTGTCGTCGAAACATAATCTTCGAAGCGAGAGTTCCAAATGAAAACGAATCCAGAACTGTTTAGCGGTCGAGCATGTAAATGCCTGGCAATGTATGTATTTCCATAAAAATCGCTGGGAGAGATCGCTTTTACCGTATCTTCTTAAAATCAAAACAATTTACTTAGTAGCTTGTATTAAACTATATTTGCGCTGTATCGATCGTGCGTCTTTCCCGTGTGTTAGAACTTGACGAGTGTCGTGAAAGTATCAATTAGAACGAAATCACGGTACAATCAGATACGATGGGAGCGAAAAGATAATAGAAAACGCATAGTTTTACCGCTGTGGCTAATGTAATTTTCGTGTCCTTGTGTCGTCATTGTAACCCCATTACCTTTATGCCCTAAGCCGTTACAGATTACTGATCATGTATCTGTGCCATAATTATCGGTGTTTCTGACAAGCAACGTTACTTTAAACGAGCTCGAGTATAGTTTGTAAAATACTTCTGTAAAAATTAAAATTTAAGGAAAATCGGTGTATCAAGGTTATTCGAGGATTCAAATTTTAGGATAAATCAGTCACTGTTGAAAAATCTCTTACGCAAAGATTCTGAAGCCTAGCCTTAGAGAAATCTTAGTTATCGCTCGTTCGATGATTATAATAATACGCTGTCTCCTCTCCCGATCGACTTTCAGGCATGCGGCAACCGATTTTTACAGAGCTGCTGGCAGCTGTAACGCCGACGTATCGGTCGAAGGAGGAAGTGACATTTTGCGAAAGGAAAGCCGGAAGTTGTTCCGACATGAGGTCGTTCGAGTAGGAAGCGAGGTTATCGCCAATTTTATAGACGCTCAATGTCAAGTCAAGTACTCCACGAAAAGATCGAGCATGACTTATGAATATTTGTGAAAAATGTCCAGTAGATCTCGACTGTTTCCGATTAAAAAGTTTGTCCAGTGATAAAATAACCTTTTATGAAAATAGACTTTTCTATATCTCTACCTTATATTTGCACGATGACTCTCCACTTATATCCGAATAACGTAATTGCAAACATTCTGTGTCTTTACAACGCACATCATTTTTTCTTACGCTTCGTGATTGTAGATTAAAGTATTAGGTATCTTTCCTACGATGTGCATATAGTTTCTACAAAGATTCATGCGTTTTATCGTTGAAGCGTTAATTATAGACACTTATCGGAAAGGGAAACCGAACAAAATATTATTGTATTAAACTTTTATAACTCACGTTACTATTGATTAGAATCTTAATGAAACGATAACGGGATACTAATGTTTGTGCTAAATTAAAACTCCAAAGGGAAATAATTAACGGTCGAATACCTGAATTCTCTCGGTGGATTTTATCTTTCACTTATCTTCTTAATAGTCTTTGTAACATTTTCGATTCAAAATATTTTTCCAGCGACAGAACGCTGAAATCGTCATATTTATTTATAATCTGTATCATTTACCAAAATAAAAGCATGGCATTCGCTTAATTTGTTTAAGAATTCAGCATGATCGATCGATACGATCGGTGTCGCTAGTTAACCAGTGTAATAAAAATCCTTGTATCTTTTATCTGACTACGGTCATCGTGTTATAATCAACATCGTTTGATAGTAGCTTGGAAGTCAGGCTCTGTCCAATTAGAGGATGTCACGGTTTTTCCCATGACATACGGGCCCATGAGGGTCTCTTCGCGATAGAACCCTAATAGGGAGAAGGAGGGTTAATGCTTTCAACCCCAAACAGATTCTCATGGAGTTATATATAACGACTAATGGGAGTCAGTTTTCGTTATGGTGGCCTAGCTATACGTAGGTATAGATATATCAGTTTGAAACATGCGGGCTCTTTGTAGCCCATACGTGTTCTATATGAACGAATCGAAATCTCCATTTCCACTATGGACGACACCGCGCGCTACGTCCACTTGCGAATGAAATTCAAAATCTTATCGTGTTTATTTTTCATTGACGACGTTTCTTTCGAGTTTTCTTCCAGTCTGTGCGTCATTTTACATCGTTTCTAGCTTTTTTACCGAAAACTTTTAGAATTTGTTTACTCGTTAGGTACATACAATAACATTTAACATTTCATTTTTTACCGGTAATAAGTTTTTTCTAAAAGTAGTACGCGGAACTGTGTAGGTAACGATGAATATTCGAAATAAATTCAGCATGGAGTAAGAAATAACAATAGGTACCGTAAGCCTTTAAACTTGACCTACGTAAACATAGTTTTAGTACACAATTTTCTTTTATTACTCCATACTTTTTATTACGATGTATCTCGAACTTTAACGTCAGTACCTCTAACTTTATGTCGCGAAAACTGCAACCGTTCACAAAGGATCGAGCGAAAAACGTTTGTATATCGTGTCTTCTTGTTCCAATTCGGCATTCGTTATCTTTTCCGATATTTGTAAAACCTATACGTTACTCGCTCGAACGAGCTTGAAATTTTCAACGTTTGAAATTTCACGAAAGGACTTTTCTTGTATTAACGTAAATCGGCGTATCGCGTTGTTACTCCATTTACGACACATTCAAATTGCCCTACGTATAATCGAATGCTAACAATACGAGGACAGTGGTTACTTACAATCTACGACTTACATCGTGCATGAATAGAAGCTCAATTTCATTCATGCGACTCTTCTCGGTATTCTATCGCGCGGCTACATTCGAGCTATCCTATCACACTGCATTGAATACCGCGAGTGCAATAATTACGCGGCCTTTCGTATGTCAACGTAACGTTTGGTTATCTTTTCGCCGTATATAATGTATAACGAAAACCTATGTTTAATCACCATCGTGCATTAATCATCAATTACATATCTATGCTCGTAAACTTTTATCTCTTTCGATTTGTATAAATTAGTCAAAGCATTTCAATTTTTTAATTAATAATTTCTATTGCCAAATACGCACTACGAATGTTTGAAAGTTCAAGCGTGACCGAAGGATACGAGATTTATGAGAAATATCTTTATCCTGTGAAACGAAGTTCGTTCATTAAGTGCTGGCTTTCTCGAATAAATAAATATCGTCGTAAAGCTTCTTACATCGGTTTTTATTCAATTTATTATTTGCACTGTGTTAAGAGCAGTCCATATAATTTCGATTATCGTTATGACATAATTATCGTTATTACATAACTGGACTTTACATTGAAGCAAGATTTTCGCGTGTGATTACTTTTTACCAGTTTTCAATTTCGAAATGCGTATCGAATCACACGACGATATTTTTTATTCTTTTTAAATATGGGCTATCAGCCTGATAACAATACGCTCCGATACATATATATAAAAATATGTTTTTAAAAATAATAAATCTTGTACTTACATTTACGATAAATCGGTTGATAGAAGAGAGACATTGAAATCGCCGTTTCGAATTTATCCTCTGGAATCGAAGATCGTTATCACTCCAATCATCGTTATTGTTACAGCATTCTATATCCGATGTATTCGATTGGAGCTTCGTTTTAATCGAGATTCATTGGCAGAAACATATTTGGAGAGCTGGTGGTGGTGGT